GATAAATGAGCCAACCAAATATTTTACAGCTCTTTACTGTACTTTATTAATGGGAATTCTTCATTAACTCTTCTGCAAAGCAGATTGGTTTCACATTATAATACTTTCCTTCCACTCAGGAAATAAAATATTTCTTTTAAATATATGAAGGTCCTGATTATATGTGTAGAATTTAAATTTGGTCAAAATCTAACATGGTAAATGCTGAGGGATTATTAATCAATCCCTCTATTGTAGCATAACTATCTTCTAGAGATGTATTGTTTACATATAAGATAGGTTCTGTCAGAACCTGGTCCTTCTATGGGCATGGGATTTCTTATTCTCTTCGAGTTCTGGCATTCTCCTGGGGGGAGAGGGCGAAGCTTGGGATGCTGATGCTTATTTCCTTTGCTTTGTTCCTTGCTCTATCCTCTTTAATGTTTCTCTAGTGGGGTGAGAATGGAATGTGCCTCCGGCCATCTGCCCTATCTCTGGCCGCGGAAGAAATGGCGCAGAGACCTAACAGCCTTGGAAGCAGTATTTTATCACTCCATTCCCACAGCGTTTTCACACCTGCAGATTGGCCTGTTTGAACCATCCGGATGGACAGTTGGGGTGGGGTTATTTTGGATTCTTTTGACTATTTGATTCACGCAGGAAACCCTCAGATCCTGCCTTCTATTCCTGCTGTCAACATCTCCAAATAAAAGTTCCTTTTGAAATGCTGCTGCTTCAAGAGTTCTGCTTCCTTGGGAGGACTGGTTGAGGCAGGTCCTTACAAGTTCAATCTTATATAATATTTTATTAGTTTTCTAATTTTACAATAAAGTATTTTAAAAGCAACATGGTGGCTGGGTTAATCAATAGTTCAATAACATACATAAATCTTTAGTACAAATCTCAAGTTACAACATCAGATATTTCCTCTCTTTTTCCCTCAATATCTACTATCTCATATTAGGCTAATATAGTTCTTATTATTATCAACTAAGTAAAAACATTATTACATGTATCAATAATTTTTAGCTTATACATATCTTAATTGTGTTTACACATTCAATCCTTATATACAATCAATGTCCTGTTATTTCTTTTTCCCCAAGATTTAATTTCCCATCAATATTCATGTTAACATTTGATATTTATAATTTCCAAGCTTTAGGTAACCAAAGTTTCCCTTATCTCAACTTCTTCTTTTTTCCTTTTTCATAACAAAATCTAATATTCTAAATACACATCTTATCTATTTGAGTATAGTCTTGTTCTGTTTTCTAAAAGTTATCTATCCATATTAAACTATCTAATTAATAATACAGTATCCCCTTGAATAAATCAAAACCATTATATGTACTATCTCAGTTAATCAATAGATCAGTAATATTCATATTTTTTTTTGTTTGGGTCTAATTTTTAAAAGTTAAAATCCTCTCTTTTTCTGGTAATATTCTTTATCTCATATTAAGCAAACAGAATTCTTATTTTCAACTGATTTCCAAATATTTTAAATTAGGTGACCAAAATTCCTCTTATCTCAACTTCTCCCTTTTTCCCTTTTCATACCAAAGTCTATTTATCTTGTTACACATCTTACCTATTCAATTATAGTGATACTTTATTTTCTAAAAATTATCTATTTTCCACCATAATCAACCCTCTAATTAGTAATATGAAATTCCCTCTAATAAATCAAAACCCTAATTTTCTTCAGCTTTACTCTGGCTTTTTCCCTTTGGCAAGTAGCCTTCCATGTCAGTGCATTTAAATCATCAAATAGTTCTCCCTCTATTATTATATATATTATTTGAAGTAAGAAAGACCATTTAGTTGCAGTTTTTTTTTTAAAAACTAGCCCATTTGTATTCATTTGATTGCCTCCCTATTACTCCAATTTCCCACGATTATCCTGATAGGTTTATCTTCCATTCAATCTGTTCTTCCTTTTCCTCAAAATTCTTCTGATTTATATAGAAAGTCTTTTCCATTTTCAGTGTTGTCACTCCCTTTTCTGAATTTTCCATTGGCTGGATTTGTTGGTCAATTAAGTCCTCCATCTTAGTGTTTGGTTGTTCCACTTCTCCTGTTATTTTCTGCATTGTTAGTTCTTTGGTTGTAGTCAAAATCTGGGTTTGTATATCTAAGATGGCATCTTGTTCCTTTATGTTGCATCTTATTTTGTCACAAGCTGAGAGAATAGTTTCGTGTATTGATTTCAATATGGAAAGGATTTTTTATTTCCATCCATATTCTCTTAATAGTGTATTAAGTTGAAGATTTTAGAATCAAACATTAAAAATAGTTCAAGCAGGTCAAATATGTCGCCCAAAAGTTCTCTATTATAGCTGAGTTTCTCACAGGTGGTATCTGTCAAGGTCAGAAGAATTTTATCTGGAGTCTGGGCTTCAAGCCAAATCTCTTTTAGGCAATAACCAGAAAGGAAGGCAGTGCAGAGAGTGGTGAGAATGGCCGAAAAGATCATCGGCAGTTCCCTCCCTCCCATCCAGGACATAGCATAGAAGCGCTGCTTGAGCAGGGTCCATAAGATTATCTGGGACACTACACATCCTCTTCATGACCTGTTTTCCTTGTTACCTTCTGGGAGGAGGCTTCATGGTATCCGAAGCAGAACATCCAGATTCAGCCAGAGTTTCATTCCATACAGCATTAACCTTGCAAACTCTCAAGCTTCCTCCTTCCGTTATATATTCAAGATGGACAATATTTAATATTTATTTGCTACGTATATGTAGGGATGTGGGTCTATACATATGTTGTTCATAATATGTTTAGGTGTGTGTCATGTATATGTTTCACTTTGAGAGCGGGCAACTAAATTTCATTTTTGATGTGTGCCATTGTGCCCACAGTATAAAAATGACAATAAAGGTTATCTTATCTTATCTTATCTTATCTTATCTTATCTTATCTTATCTTATCTTATCTTATCTTATCTTATCAATGCCATTTAAAACTTTTTAAGTCCAAAGTTTTTATGATAGTTTTTCAAGTTTTATTTCTTTTTTTTAAATTAAAGCAAAAGTCTCCAGTAAGAATAGGAAAACTTTTAGTCCCCAAGTTTCCAAAACATACAGATCCAATTAGATTAAAATTGTTCTTATAATTGCTTTAATTCCCCTGGGTAGTTAGTCGCCGCTTTTCTTGGAGGATAGGGTAGATATTCCCTTCCCTCTCTCCTCACAGGGGGAAAAAATACTTTGGGCAGCTTTTACAGGAGAAAATACTTAAAGTCTTAAAGAGAAGATCATATCTCACCAGTTTCATCTGCGTTGCTTTGAAGGTGCTTGATGGTAATTTTGACTTCGGCTATCAGCAGCTTAGTGACGAGCCATATTGCTATGGCCGGTCTTTCTCCCACTGATTTGGAGGGCTGCCCTAGATCAAGCGGAAGGGCTGCTGCCCTCCTGCAATCAAGCGGGGGTCCCCTCCTTGCTCGTCGCCCCTACAGGGCAACTTTCGACCTTTTCCAGGGTTCCCCAGCAGGATGAATTTGGATGCAGAAGACGGAGCTCGCCTTCCTGTGTCTGCAGGTGCTGTGATGGCAAACTGGAAATGTTACAAGTTCAATCTTGTGAAAACAATATTACTTTATGTATTTTAAATACTTTAATTATTTGATTTACATCAAATACAGTAATTGCGTAAATTATTCCTGTTCTCATTTGATCAAAATGCTAGTTAATTACAGGTTTGCAGATGAAGCTGGAGTCACAGAAACTGTCCCTTATTTGTTTTTCTTTTGCAACTTAGCTAACATTGCAGTTTTTGAGTGTATTCTGGCAACAGAGGTAGCAGAGAGCACAAGCTACTAGGGCAGGGTTGAGAAAAGCAAGCAGTCTATTCACAGAGGTCTGTCAATAGTTTCCTTTGCAAAGTGATAGAATGAGAAAGAGCAGAAGAATTCATAAGAGAGAAAGAACATTAGAAAACAAGACAGATGACTCAGATGAAGGAAGCAAGTACAACAGAATGAGAGAGAGAGAGAGAGAGAGAATGCATAATTCATGGGACTGATTCACAAGGGGCTTTGATTTACTGGAGTTTTCCAATAAAGCAAGAGTGGCAGAAAGTTCTTACTCACTTCAGATCAAATTCTGACAATGACTAAATCTCTGTATTTAGGTAGCTGCAAAATCCCTCCTCGTCTTTGCTGGTAGCCCATGTTCAGGAAAGTAATTGATAGATGTTTTACATTAAAGCTGGTACTTTAAGCACTACTCACTGACCTCATTACCAAGGCAGAAGAAAGATCAGTTAGCATAAGAGATCAAGTTCCACCAGTATACCTTTGTGCCCCTAAATGGACTAAAGATAAATATATTAAACTAACTATTGGAATGTGCAGTTGTCCTCAAATTCCCACCTAGCCTTGAATTCCTCATTTTAAGTGAAAATTTTAATCTGATTATTGTGGAGTGTAATTGTGAGGAAGAGACTCATGTCCATCTCCTTAAATAATTGGAGGAAAGATTTTAAAATTAAAGGAAAGTGGCATTATTACTTAGCATAGCTATGGATTAAAAAGAAAATAGAAATAGAAATAGGAGTTGGAAGGGATCTTGTAGGTCATCTAGTCCAACCCCCCGCTCAAGCAGGAGACCCTACACCATTTCTGCAGTCCAGTCTCTTCTTGAAAGTTTCCAGTGATGAAGTTTCCCACAACTTCTGAAGGCAATCTGTTCCACTGGTTGATTGTTGTCACTGTCAGAAAATTTCTCTTTATTTCTAGGTTGAATCTCTCCTTGATCAGTTTCTATCTGTTATTCCTTGTCTGGCCTTCAAGTGCTTTGGAAAATAGATTGACCCCCTCCTCTCTGGGAGACCCTCTCAAATATTGGAACACTGCATTAAATTAAGCATAAAACATTCTAGATTAAGACAGGATACCTGGGGTCATTGTTTATGCTTCATTGGAGAGTTCATAGAGTATAGATGATAATAAAAATTTAACACCTTGTTTTACTTTCATCTGATACTCTCATTCATGTTTTGGACATACTTACATTTTAGCTCAAGTTTGATGAAATCTGAATTCCCCCGATTCTCAAGGAAGACTCCATCAGGGGCTGATGTTTTGAAATAGAATGAAATGTCAGCACTGGTCTCTCCTTGGAAGGTAGAGAAGTGGAGATATGAAGATCGAGTAACAAATGATGCAGAATTCCAATAATTCTCTGTAAAATATAAAAATATAGTTCTTTTGAGTTATGTGCTACTTAAAATTAAACAAAATGAAAAATACTTTTTACAAAGGATCAGAAAGCTGAGGTTTGAAATGGGAAGCATGCTATCATATTTGTCTTCTATACAGAAAAATATTTTAATTAAAATATTAATAGTTTGATTCTTTTATTGATAAACAATTGCAGCTTAATATTGCCTATAATTTAATGGCATGGTTGCTGTTCATAATATATATTATATTAGAAAACTCTACTTGCACTTAATAAACAAGAATGCTTTTTACTTAGCTGCCAAGTTAATGGAAGCTTTCATCTGTTAAATCATACTTGAAACAGGAATCTGAAGAGATTAATTGAATTCATGAAGGTCAACATTGCATCCTTTTGTGATGAGATTTTATGAATTCCACTAAAATTACATTAAAGTTAAAATTCCCAGTTCAGGTATTTTTTTAGATAAACTATAGTGAGAAGAAAGCAAAAAGGCAGTTCTATGAAATCTTGAAGTCTAACAAATGCAGTATATTTGATGTTTAGAGAGTTTATAGACAGATTTCTTAGAAACCCTCAAACTTTACAAATTGAATTAAAAAACAAAACAATGTAATAATATAACTAGAGGCATAATATTATAAAGAGCAAACTTGAATACCAGTTCTAACCAATTACACAGAAGAAATATATATAGAAAGATATTAAGGTAGCTCCCCAGTTAAAGGCAGTCTTCAACTCATCTCCCTCCTTTATCTTTTTTTATTAAAAGTTTAAAAAAAAATTGTACAATATATATCACCCCACCCTCCCCACCCTTCCCACTTCCCAGAGCTGATTACAGGGTACAAATAAACAATAACATAATCTAAATAACATTACCCAACTATACTAACAGTTAAATCCATAACATACTTTAACTCCCTTTAAAAATAAGTATTAACCAATTAACAACAAAAATAATAATATACCTAATTAACAACCAAAATAATAATATAATTAAACCATAAAATTCAAAATAATATTCAACCCTATTAAACTACTAATAATAATCTTAAATTCACTCATAAACTAAATGATACTTTTCAATCTCCTAATTCATCTATATCTATAACATCTCAAAATAATGTTATAATTAAATCATAAACAGAAACTAAATAATACTTTTCAATCTTATACTTCTTCTATCTATAACATCTCAAAATAATATTATAATTAAATCATAAAACTAAAAATAGTATTCAGCCATGTTAAGCTAAATAATACTTTTCATATATAATAATCAAAAGCTAAATAATACTTTTCAATCACATAGTTCTTCTATCTATAACATCTCAAAATAATATTATAATTAAGTCATAAAACTAAAAATAATATTCAACCATATTAAGCTAAATAATACTTTTCATATATAATCAGTCCATCTTCTCCAAACCAAAATATATTTTCTTTGTAAATCCTTCAAATAAGTGGAGATTTTTGACATTTCTACTAAATAAAACATAGCAATGCTCTTACATCTATTATAAAATTAAGCATCAAATTAATTTCTTTAACATCAACTTCATAACACATTACAAGATTAATCCATAAAACTTTAATGTCCCTACACGTCCACCAATTATGACTTCTATATTCCATTCACACCAGATATCTTTAAATTCCAAATCATCTTTTAGGTCAATATAAAAGAAAACTTTAGTTAATTAATTTTGAGAGAACCTTTCTTATTTCTACTTAAATCTAAGACTCAATTCCAGTCTTTTACTGTTCTTTTTTTCTTTGCTTTTATAAGCTGCACGGGTCATTCTCTGTTCCTTTAAATCAGTGGTTCTCAACCTTTCTAATGCCGTGACCCCATAATACAGTTCCCCATGTTGTGGTGACCCCTTATACATCGCCGGGTGCCAGGGGCATGGCCGGGTGGGTGTGGCCACCACTTATACATCGCCGGATGCCAGGGGCGTGGCCAAGTGGGTGTGGCCACCAAGTGGGCATGGCCACCATGTTGTGGTGACCCCCAACCATAAAATTATTTTCATTGCTATTTCATAACTGTAATTTTGCTACGTTATGAATCGCAATGTAAATATCTGATATGCAGGATGTATTTTCATTTTTACAAATTGAACATAATTAAAGCATAGTGATTATGCTTTCCTCTCTCCCTCTCTTTCCTCTCCCTCTCTTTCTCTC